TACAGTGAATAACTGTAAATTGACATTCCCAGAATTCCCTGCTTTACATTTCAAATTTGATGTTTTTTTTTTTGTTTAAATAACGGTTTCGTCATAGTTTTTTCTTATCAGTTTTGTATATTAGGGTTGTATGTTACACCTAATGTTGTTAAATTAATGTTTATTGCATTATTTCAGTTTCACGTGTGTTACCATGATGGTGTTTAGTGTTTGTGTGAATGACACTGTGCACCTTCTATACATGTTATTATTTAAAAGCTGCTTGCAATAGGTTGGTATATTAACATTATATTAGGTAATGAAATTACGGTATTTAACTGTAAATTTTTAAGTTAAAACCGTAAAACCTAAAATGTGCTACCGTATTTTTTACGGTAAAATTCCGGCAACCACAGCTGCCGTTTTTTTTTTACCATAAATTTTACGGAATTTTTTTTACAGTGTACTGTAACTTCCTGGCTGTTAACTGGAGAACTAGAAGAAGTAAATCTTCTCCAGGAGTCACTCAGATTCACTGAAACGTTTACAGAAGCACCTCTGAGTCACTCAGATCCTTCGGTTCCCTTTAAAAGCCGTACATGTCTGAAACGCTGATCTCAAAGGCCATTTTTAGACAATCATTCTGAACTTCATGCTATTTTTCGCTTGATAACCGGGTCAGCGTTAGAGCATGTCAGAATACTTCACTGTCACTGAGAGCAGAGCCATCAAATCATCTCAGTACATGGAACTAATGTCAGGACTGGATATTTCTCATGCTTTTACCCCTGAGCTTCTGTAAATCAGAGCCTCGTGACATTCAGAATCAGAAATTTGATTTGGCAGATTTGTTATGTCTGCCTTTTAAATCACATTCCGTGAATATGAACTGAAGCAGCCATCAGAATGCAAAACTGTAATATGAATTTAATGAAGCTGAATTCATTCTGAAGAAATTAATTTAGTTATATATACATACACCCACAAACATTCAATTAACTTTCAATTGGTAGAATGTGCTCCTATTACCTCTGATTTTGCTGTCCATATGCTTTGCTTTATTTATGTGGAAGTAGTATGTTAGTTACTTTACATGAAAAATGTGTTGTATTCAATATAATATAGAATAAATAGGCATTAAAAAACATTAAAAAAGCGTTATAGTTGCAATGTAACAGTGACACGTTTTCATCTCTGACATACATCGGAGTAAAACTGATTATTAAAGAAAATAAATGTAGGGCGGGACTTGGTTCTGTGCTTCAGATATTGATTGGATGTTGAGATGTGGGCGTGGCACTTACTGAATGCAAGCTATGCAGCTGAATGTAAGAAAGGGGCGGGGTTTAAGTAGATTTAATGATTGGATGAGTCGCCATTCACCGGAACATAATTTCAAGGTCAAAGAATTTAAACTAATTAAACATATGCATGGATCAATCATTCACAAGATTATCAAGAACATTCATAAAAAGAGCATTTAGAAACAGGATGAATTTTTCACTTCAATCCAACTTTAAGCTAATGAAACTCGTCTGCTGTGTGAACTGCAATTCAGGAAATTCCTCCTGTTACTCCAATTCAAATCCTGAGTGTTCACTCACTTTGAAATTAATTCAAATTCACACTCATGATATGGAAAGGAGCCAATTCAACCCTTCTGAAGACACACATGATCAGATGCCGTCTGATCATGCACTCTACACTAGAGGAGAACACTAGCCACAAACCTGTTCACCTCTCTCTCTCACACACACACACACACACACACACACACCACGCACACGCACACGCACACGCACACACACACACATACACATGCACGCACGCACGCATACATTCCAGAGGAATCTGGCTGCTTTATTCACACACACAGAGCGAGACAGATGATATCAAATATAATTCCAACTATTCCATGGAGTTGTCCAGGAGCACAGAGATCAATGTGAAAAATATCCCTGTTCCAGGTCCTGGTCCAGGAATAACAGTACGCTGCCACACTCTCAGCTTCTGTTAGATCCTCTGCTCAATGATTTCAGCTTCTCTGCTGTATCACTGTGTCTCTACTGTGATAGAATAACACAACTAGACTTTTATAATTTCTGCAGAAATCGTGAGTGGTGTTCGCCTCTGAAAACTCTGTCAGCACAATGATCAGCTGTTGAGGGCATCTAGCAGGACGTTACAATGCGGTTACCCTTTCTAGGGTGATTTTTAACACCTTACCTATGCGTTTGCTAAGTTGTTGCTATGTAAAAATTGCATTTTAGCGAGAGAGAGAAAAAAAAGTGTTCATGTGTGTAAGTCACAAGTCGCATCGGTGTATAGGTTGCATTTTATTACACTTAAAAATGATGCAATCATATTGTATTGTAAAAAAAATTTAAAATGAAACATTACTAAGGCAGCACCATGTGTATCTTTTGCAAAGAATCCCTTAAAACACTGTAAAAAGCTCAGTGAAATAATCATCCAAGATGGCAGATGAAGTAAAGTGAGAGATAAATCAAAAAATTCCATTAATATTGCTAAGTATAGATAAAGAAGTTGTATCAATTTGATGGGATTTTCCAGAAAATAAGTAAAAAAAATTTTTTTTTATATATATATATTAAATTTTATTACATTCAGAAATAATGTAAAATACTGGTAAATAAATTGAAATGTTTATAAATATTATAAACACTATAAAATTTTATTTTATTTTCCCTCACTCCACAAGAACCCTTCAAATTAAAAAGTATACAGAACAAAAACATAGAAGTACAAAATGAATTACAGTGCCATTCATTCTAAACAACGTTATAAACATCAAGCCTAAACAAAAAGTGAAACTGCAACTACCAGCATGTGTGAAGTTCAGTACACAAATGAACTTGATGTGCCTTACCTTAAACTGTGTGAGGACAGATAAAAACTGAAAGCCACAAGATAAAACATTTCTGTACCAACGCACAGACCAACAACTGACTATTATTTACACTTATTTTCCAAATTAAAAAAAAAACACAGATAATTAATGAAAAGCAAAACTATTTATGATCTACAGCATTTTTCCTATTTAAAAACTAATATAATTAAAGTTTAAAGTACAAATATACAAATAAATCCCCTGAAAATAAATAAATACATGAATAAATGCGATGAGATGTGAGGATATGGGAAGAAAAACAAGTGTAGTTCAGTGTAATAACTCAGTATTGTAAAGCTGCAAAGCTGGACCAAATTTATGGGTTCATGTACCTCTCTTGTGGATCCAAATGTTTCCATATTCACAATGTAATGTTTTGTTGCTAAACTATTATTTATTATGCAAGCCTGTACTTCACTCCTGTACCAATATCCATGTAAAATGAAACCTTCCTTAATTGCATTATATGGTATGTTTACGAGAAAAAAAAAAGACTTGGATTCTGGAACATACTGTAATTGTTGACAGTATTTAAATCTTTGGCTGAACTAACCTTTTCAATACAACAGAACACTGTTCTTGTTTTTCAGAATTTGTCTTGACTTACAGTGCATTCAGGCTATACATTTTTTACCAGTATGTGTGTTCCCTGGGAATCGAACCTACGACCTTTTGCGCTGCTAAAGCAATGCTCTACCACTGAGCCAGGTTGTATAGGCTATATGCTTGATTATTAGCTAATTTAATTTATTTAATATTTTGATTTTCAAATAGTTACCTAAAAACATTACAATTAAATAGTTACAGTAGTTTTTGCTATGGTACTGAGATTGGAGCTAACAGTGAAACTAACTGTGAAATCTTACTGATATTGGTAACAACAACTGAAATGTTGGTATCGTGACAACACTAGACTGCAGAAATGGCATGTGCGTTATATATTGGGCCCTGGGTGTTTAGGTGAAGGGCAGACATGTTAGCCGCCGTTATCGCAGACGTCAGTAGCTTGACCACAGCTCAGGCTAAAAGCCTTTTTTAGCATCTTTTCTGCTCAATGCCATTATCTGTGCACATCCGGCTGACTCACCAGCGCCCAGTGTGTCCACCCCTGCTCACAGGTGCTTTAACAAACTCTGACATCAATGGAAACGTGTTTAAAGGCCGGCCCTGCATCTATGCATGGACCAATCTCTTGAGAAAATTTCCACCATCAGCACGAGCTCGCCGAGGCACGAGACGCTCATGAATCTGAACACGACCGTTCAAAAGCTTGAGGTCAGCACTTACTTGAACTCAGCAAGGATGCATTAAATTGATCAAAAGTGAGAATAAAAACATCTATCTATCTATAATAGATTTCTATTTTAAATGAATGCTGTTCTTTTCGACTTTCAGATCAAAGAATCCTTAAAAAAAATGTTTATGCAAAACTATAACGGTGTTCAGCATTGATAATATTAAGAAATGCTTCTTGAAACACTCAATTTGAATCCAAAAAATAAGGCAGATTGCCCCTTGACTAACTACTAGCTGGTTAGACTAGTTCTTAAGAAAGTCTGCTTCTGAATTTCAAGGATTCAAAGAAAGGATTTGCGTTGTTGTGAAGACCGGTCTTTTCCCTGGAAAAAACAAACTAGGAAGGACAAGAGGACACAAAACACATCTTTTTAGTGGGCCACTACATTATAAGCAGTGGGCAATGGACACTAAAAATACAACATTCCTCATTTGATGCATCCTTGATATCAAGAGCACATCCAGAGATTTTCATATGCCTGTACAAGCGTTCATGAGTACGGATTTTTGAAGGTTGATTACATAGTACAAGAACACACTTTTGAACATTAAAGCATGTCAACATATTCTGTTACACCAAATACACAAAATAATGAATGATCTTTAAAAAAGCATCATATGACCCCTTTAAGAACGCATAGCATAGAGTTTTAATGTAGAGGCTAAGTTTCTGCAACTAGCCACAAGTCTACCAAATAAAATGCACAATTTTTATTCTTAAAGTCCAACGATTATTTAGTTATAGTGTCAAAAAGCAGAAAATGCTGTATGCTCCTGCTCAATCTGTAAAGCATGACATCCACAAGAGCCTCACCTGAACCGTAGAGCTGATCTCAGCTGCGAATCCTCCGGTCACCGGAGCCTCGTGACTGATGAGCAGCCGACCCGTCTTCACCACCGACTGGAAAAGAGAGAACATCAGCTATTAGGAAGTCTATTTTAATCAAAAAGAGACATGGAAACATGCACAAGCCTCAATATTTTATCTTTACTAGGCACTATTATAATTCTGGCTCTGAATTCCAGCCCCTGAAACCAAAAATTAAATATGAAATCAAAATTTAGCATTTTTACACCCCTAAATCTTTCACATTTCATACCAAACAGGCTGAATTGGGCTGGATTGCAGCACACAAATTCGTGAAACATCGGTTTCTTACAGTTTAAGCAACTGTAGTTTGATTCGGTCTGAGGATGTTTCTAAACCCAGTCAACCAAAGGTGAGGTCTTTAGAGAGTCAAAACATGACGTTCAAACAAAGAACACAAAAACCTTCCCGTCTAAAAAAATCTGTGTCGCAAGTCTGATTAGCTACGTTTACATACACCAAAATAATCCAACTAACTCTATATATATATGTATAAATGTACTCTATATAACTCTATATAAAGTCCGGCCCTGCATCTATGCATGGACCAATATATATATATACTCTATATAACTCTATATAACCATGTATGTGACAAATAAAAATCTTGAATCTTGAAATCTTGAATAATCCGCTGACAATCACATTAAGAGCTCAATCAGATTGAAAATCCTTAATCTAAACATCAGCTATTAGGAAGTCTATTTTAATAAAAAAGAGACATGGAAACATGCACAAGCCTCAATATTTTATCTTTACTAGGCACTATTATAATTCTGGCTCTGAATTCCAGCCCCTGAAACCAAAAATTAAATATGAAATCAAAATTTAGCATTTTTACACCCCTAAATCTTTCACATTTCATACCAAACAGGCTGAATTGGGCTGGATTGCAGCACACAAATTCGTGAAACATCGGTTTCTTACAGTTTAAGCAACTGTAGTTTGATTCGGTCTGAGGATGTTTCTAAACCCAGTCTGAGGTCTTTAGAGAGTCAAAACATGACGTTCAAACAAAGAACACAAAAACCTTCCCGTCTAAAAAAATCTGGAAATGTTGCGCGTCTGATTAGCTACGTTTACATACACCAAAATAGTCTGCTGACAATCACATTAATAGCTCAATCGGATTGAAAATCCTTAATCTAAACACCTCAAATATTCCAATTGAGCTCGACCAATATATATATATACTCTATATAACTCTATATAACCATGTATGTGACAAATAAAAATCTTGAATCTTGAAATCTTGAATAATCCGCTGACAATCACATTAAGAGCTCAATCAGATTGAAAATCCTTAATCTAAACACCTCAAATATTCCAATTGAGCTTCATCTGAATGAAAGTTAAACTGTATAGAAAGGGATGATGTAGACCTAAAATAATTGGATCAAAAGGAAAAAACTAAGCATGCAAATGCCTGAATGTTCTCAGTCAGATTCAAAGATACCTTCTTACCAACATGCGTATGTCTATTGACATCTTATGAACTTGCCATTGAATGAGACATGCAAAAATGCATGTAAAAACAAACGTGAATCGATTTTTTTTAGGGTTCATACAAACTGAACATTTTCTGAAATCGGATTTAATTAATTGAATCTGATGATGAAAAATGAAGGTGCTTAAAAGGTTGTTAACAGCGATGCCATAGAAGAACCATTTTTGGTATGAACTTGCCATTGAATGAGACATGCAAAAATGCATGTAAAAACAAACGTGAATCGATTTTTTTAGGGTTCATACAAACTGAACATTTTCTGAAATCGGATTTAATTAATTGAATCTGATGATGAAAAATTAAGGTGCTTAAAAGGTTGTTAACAGCGATGCCATAGAAGAACCATTTTTGGTTCCACAAAGAACCATCTCTTTCTTACCTTTATAATCTGAAGAACCTTCTTTCGCCACAAAGAACCTTTTGTGAAACAGAAAGGTTCTTCATATGTTAAAGGTTCTTTATGGAACCATTTAGACAAAAAAGGTTCTTCTATGGCATCGTGAAGCACCTATTGTCTACATGAGCACTGCAGCTCATGTATTTGAACATATGGCCACTGCATTTATTAATAAGTGCAGACTGAAAACACCATTTGCTGCTGATTATGAAATTTGTTTGAAGTTCATACTTCACTGTCAATGGTCATTATGACTTAAGTTAAACAATCTTTCTGTTAGCCTGAACAAAATAAACAGCAGGTCGCAGCTGCAGAGCACTGACCAAACATCAGATTCTACGAGATATGAAACTGACAGATCTTGCTGCAAAGTCCGCTCTTCAAAGGAGAAAAACAGGTGCAAAACAGCTCATTATAATAGGACTCATCCATGCGCTTGTGATGAGGCATTTCCTGCAGAAAGATCACAGTTTGTTTGGTAATCTGAATAATTCTATAAAAGCCTCAAATTTTATTGAGATAAAAAGGACTTAAACGTTTGCCATTTCATGGTTGTGCATCTGCTGAGAAGAGTGTGATGAGGTCTGGATCTTGAGCTGGAAGATTAGCATGTTTCTCCACAAAGACACAGAAGAAACTACACCTGCAACATCCACTGACTTCAATGTGTGAGCCGTGTGTGCTGACTATTGTAATTAAAATGTCAATTCCAGGCATCACTGGAACACGTTTGACTGATCTGTCGAGTACTCAAAAAAACAAACAGGCTGCACACAATAAGAACAGACTATTTGACAGAATATCTTTAAAAGATGAGATGCCATGAACCTCATAAACTCTAGCTCTGAAGTGCTCATTGAAAAAGCAACAAGTTGCAAACAAAATGCTTTTCCACTGGACGATGAACTTTGTAGGATTACTCCCAAAAGTGGAGCAACATGTGGCAAGGAGCCAGTATATTTGACCGGACCAGTTGATTTCCCAGACCTTGCTGTTTTAAACACTTTAATCTCAGAGAACAGTACAGAATAAAAAGCTGAGGCAGGTCATGACCCCTTTAAAGGGGACTGAGGCGTCATTTTCCTACGTACAAGGTTTCTTGTATCTTCTTCGATAAATGTCTCTATTTTTCATATTACACTGCTGGATACTGTCCCGACAGACCTCGCAGGTAGAGGCACATATTTCCAGTGAGCCTGGGTACGAAAGAGACGTTGCTCCCCAGGCCACGATCCAAGACGGAGCAAGACACAGACAAGTACAAGCTACATTGGTCTTCACAAATGCGCTTAAAGTGTCAAAATGTCCGTATTGGCGAGTTTTCACGTAAATGCAGTTAGTTTCATCTTGTAAACATAAACAGTTGGGAAAGTAATCAAATGTTTGTCATTTTATTAGATCAGTGCATTTGGTCTTAAAGCGACAGCAGCCAATAAACCTGCTGTTAATCAAACAACAAAAGAAACAAACCTCAGTAACTTTAATAAAAATCGATGTATATTTAGGTAATACAGTGAAGACTATGCAGTGTTTAATTTTTATGTTCCATTTCTGTACAATAGTCTATTATGTTTAGTAGGCTAAATTGTTTACTACATTTGTATCTTTTTTCTATTGTATTTGTCCTATTTTCTTCTTCTTTTTTATTGTATTACTGACTGTTGTTTGTTGACAGTGAAACTGCTCTGGAAGGTTCAAGGGTCATTTTGGGGTTTTTATAAACACTCTGACAGGGGCCTCCTGGTTTTTTAGGGCCCTCTGAAGTTTAGGACCGGCACTGCCAGTCTAACATCGTTGGGTTGGTGTGGTTGAGTGGGTAAATATCTAGTAAACCAAAGGTTGTAGGTTTAAATCCTGAAACCCTGTGCAACTACCACTGTGTCCTTCCTTCAGACAAAGCTTCTTTATTGGCATTGTTGGTTCTTTGAATAACTTTTACCATCAATGGAGTCCTTCCATTCCACAAAAGGTTATTTATAGTGAAAAAAGGTTAATTTGGCAAAGAAAAAACCTCTTTGGAACCTGTATTTGAGTGCTGAGTAAAACACTGCCTGATGCGGTTACTCTGGACTTGACAGTTAAACGAAGAATAATGAATGATTTAATAATAATTCCACACCTCATAACCAAGTTGGTGTTATGTCAGAAACTCAGAGTCGCTGAAACTGCTTCTGATGCCTCGGATGCCAGCGGACTGAGACGGGCACAGCAGCAGAATCTTGAGACTGTGTGCTAACAAGGGTGTGAGATTTCGATAAGACAGCAAGTATGCAGGGGTGTGACCGGAGGCATTTTCCTAAGGCTGTCCCACACTGCACACGTTTTATTGTTATTAACCAGGTCTGTCGGATTGAAATATAAATGTCTTTTAAGACAGACCTGGCTAGGAAATGCAGTGACTAGATTCAGAAATCTTCAGACCATGAACATATTTGTCTGAAGTATATTAATGCACAACACGTGGCCAACACACTGCAGGTGATCTGTTTGCTGAACATATTTAACTTGCATTAGTGTGGCAGTAACAAACCTCAGGACTCGAGGGGGTGATAGACTTTCCTCTTAAACCAGATGTTATTCAGGTAGCCAGATATAAACACGTCGACGGTTTAACGATCTTGCTCAGCACGATTCTTCAAACTGTTGCTCTGTCACGCGAGTATTTGACCCGAAAGAGAAAACTGACCAGAAAAGTACAATATACAATAACGTTTACAATACGCCTTCTTGTGGCAATGCTGATGAAGATGATTGTGTTGTGTTGTAAATCTCAATCTGTCCCCACTTCAGATTTTGAGTGTTTATATACGAGAATGTTTCAAACCTTGAAATAAACTAGCATTCAAAGTTTGGAGTCAGTCCAATTTCGTCAGTACAATGTTTTCGAAAGATGTCTAATCTGTTCACCAAGGCTGCATGTATTTGTTTAAAAATACAGTAAATCTTTTCAATTGTATTATATTTTAAAATGTATTTTTTTGTTAATACTGAAAAATACTGAACACTACTGAATACTGAAACTAAACTGAAATAAAAATGAATTAAACCTAAACAGAATTATATTTTTAAAAAAAGACAAAAACACATAAAATTAATACAAATTTAACTAAAATTAAAATGAAATCTGAA